TCTTTGTGGACAACAAGTTGAACATGAGCCAAGAGTGTGATGCAGCAGCTCAAAAAGCCGATGGGATCCATTGGGCTGCATCCAAGAGTCTAGTGTCCAGATCGACAGAAGAAATCATGGAGCCTTTGTATTCCGCTTTGGTTAGACCTCATCTGGAATACTGCATCCAATTCTGGGCACCACAGTTCAAAAGAGATATTGACAAGCTGGAAGGTGTCCAAGGGAGGACTAAAATGATCAAAGGTCTGAAGACCATGCCTTATGAGGAGCGTCTTAAAAAACCAAGTATGTTTAGCCTGCAGAAGAGAAGGTTGAGAGGAGACATGATAGTCATGTATAAATATGTGAAAGTGTGTCATAAGGGAGAGGGAGCAGACTTGTTTTTTGCTGCTCTTGAAACAAGGACTAGAAGCAATGAGTTCAAATGACAGGAAAGGAGATTCCACCTGAACATTAGGAGGAACTTTCTGACCGTATGAGCTGTTCAACAGTGGAACTGTGTGATGGAAACTACTTCCTTGGAGACTTTTAGGCAGAGGCTGGATGGCCATCAGTCAGGGATACTTTGATTGTGCTTTTCCTGCATGGCAGGGAGATAGACTGGATGACCCAAGTGGTCTCTTCCAACTCGATTATTCGATGAGTCTATGATTCTATGACTCCTTTTGGATCACCGCTCTGAGAATCTCTCAGTGAGAATGAAGGATTTGGAGGATAAGTAATGTTTCTAAGCTCTGTTCTTTTTTGCTTTTGATTCTACAGTAGTAAAACTTCAACCCTCGTTTACTTAATACTGTTATCTGAACGTAACTCCTTCATTTGCTCCATGTTACCTGTTTGCCAGCCTTCCTGTCTATTTGGCACACTTGTGCAATTCCTATGAACTATTAGTCTGACCTATTGGATGGGCAAATCTGAAAGATGTTGGTGATCCAATCTCTAATTAAAGTCCTGCTCCTCCAAAGAGCCCCACCACCTTTCAGGGAAGGCAATTCCTTTCACCATTGAACAGTTCTAACAAGAAATCAGCAAATTATTCCTAATGTTATATGGAATCTTTTTTAATCCATTGGTTTGTTTTCTAGTCTCTGCAGCAGCAGAAAACAAGCAGGATCCACTTTTTACATGGCATCACATTTGATATTTAAAGATAGCTATCACATCACCTTCTCCAAAAAGACCTACAAGCCACCCTAAACACCTTCGCATAAGTATATGAGAAGCTCAGCCTGTCCTTGAACACCGAGAAAACCAGTGCTCTTCCAGCAGGCATCAGCCAATTCATCTGCAATGCCAGAAATACAGCTTAATGGTGTAACATTAGAAAATGTTGACCATTTCCACTACCTTTACTCCGAAAAATCCTACAAATCTCTTGGGAAGAGAGGCGGACAAATCAGCGTGCTGGAATAAGCAAAGACCACCAGCATTGAAGCGATGCTCCTCCGCCATCAACTCCGCTGGACCAGCCATGTTGTCCGAATGCCCAATCACCGTCTCCCAAAGCAGTTACTCTACTCTGAACTCAAGAATGGAAAACAGAATGTTGGTGGGCAGGAAAAGAGATTTAAAGATGGGCTCAAAGTCAACCTTAAAAACTGTGGCATAGACAATGAGAACTGGGTAGCCCTGGCCCTTGAGTGCTCTAGCTGGAGGTAAGCTGTGACCAGCAGTGCTGTAGAATTTGAAGATGCATGAATGGAGGGTGAAAGAGAGAATCGTGCCAAGAGGAAGGAGCGTCAAACCAACCCCGACTGGGATTACCTTCCACCTGGAAACCGACGCCCTCACTGCGGGAGAACATGCGGGTCAAGAATCACTTATGTACAGTCACTTATGTACCCACCACCAGGACACCGAACCTGGAGGACTATCTTACTCGGACAACGAGGGATCGCCTAAGTAAGTCTCAAGCTAAACATATCCACCTTCCTAAATGATTCCATCCTAAGGTTTGATTTCCAGACCACTGATGATCTTGGACACCTTTCTTTGGACAAATTCCAGCTATCAATATCCTCCTTGGATGATGGTGCCCAGACATGGATGTAGCACTCCAGGTGAGATCTGACCAAAGCAGAATAGAATGGCACTTCTACTTCACTTGACTTGGACACTATACTCCTATTGAGCTCAGAATTGGTCATTTTGCATTCTGATCCTGTGCTTTGAAGTATTTGCTTCCCTCACCTCACTCCATTTGTCCTGTATACATTTAATAAGCATGCCGCTTATGAATCCTTAGGAAATGTTGCACAGAATAAGTAAAGAGATAGTACAGGAATACCTGACTCCTCCTAAATGAAATCAGGTCTTCATGGCCAAATGAATTACATCCAGGGGATTAAAAGAACTGGTAGAGCTAACCTTAGAATCACTGGCAATAAGCAATTGAGAATTACCGAATTTCGGTATTCTGGATAAGAAATACTCACCTTGTGTAAAAGTTCTAGGTGTGAACATTTTATAGTGTTTCATGCTGTGAAATACTAAAAATCTGGGGAGTAAAGAAACATTTCACTGAGGGGATTCTTATTTGGAATAGACAATACCTTCATTTTGCATTTTCTCCATAGCTACAGCCCTGGATGAATAATTGTTTTATTACTGTGTAGCACGAAAGGGCCCATACAGTAATGCTCCTTGTAGTTAAATGGAAAGAGGATTTTTTCAATATGGCTCCAGAGTGTTCTGTTTGCAACACAGATCAGGCATATATGGGGTGGGGAGGTTGTGGAGGGGGAGAGAAGACATCCCGACTAGCTTTGGGAACATGGTCAGAATTTTGGCACAGGAATCTTGAGTTTCTGAGAAATCCCAGCTATAAAAATTGTCTGGACTTATTTTATGAAAGCAGTGGACAATTTAACAGACAATTGGAACTTTCTATAAGCTGCTGGCAGGCAAAATTATACATGAACCATGTCAAAAGGGCTGTTAGATCACTCAGAGCTAACAGCCAAGAAAGAGAAATGAATTTTCCTCCATTAACGAAAGGTAGGTGACCCATTTGGCAAAAACCCTAGAACTGATGGCGACAATTTGCACTTAAAAAGAGAAGCTGTTGAGTACATGGGTTATTTGAGAGAGAATTGTGTGCTGGCTTCTCTAGGAAATTGAAGCAATTTCATATAAAATTGTGCGGTAACTTTTCATTATGACAATTGTTATGTGATTTTTAAAAATGCTGAAAACCAAAAGAAGGAATCTCTTACTCTCATATTAAAACAGTCAGAAACTGCCGAAACACACACTGCTAACTTGGGAAAAAAACTATTCTTGGAAACTACTTTCAGCAGCGATGTTTCCTGTCCCACATGTAGAAGCTAGCTAAAAGAAAAGATACAGAAGTCAGTGAATGTTTAAAAAGCTTTAGGTGGCCCATTCTACTGTACTTACTCAACTCCAAGAGGGCGCGCGGATGATGCAACTGTTAACATTACCAATGTAGTTTCAAACAGATATATTACAAAAAAAAAAATAATGAGGAAGAGCTAACCATATATTAGTTGTTGCTATGTATAGATTGAGTTAAATGACTTATGACATTTTATATTTCAGTGACGATAATGGCTGTCCTGAAGTTTATTCTTCACACACACTAAACATATTCATTTTATGCCTAACAACAGTTGTACCAGTGCAGCTACACATACATTAGAAAAGCAACTCAGTTCAGATCATTTCAGGTTTGAACAAAGAGGATACATACAATAAAATAATTGCAGAGTCTAGGCTGTTCAAAAGTAAAGATAACTGGTGGGCAGACAAGTGGGGGCGGATTTCACAGAACAGGGATCGGTTTGTTCTTTAGAGGCACATCAGGGACAAGTTAAATAGATGTTTAAAAGAACCAGAAACAGCATCAGAAAAAAGAGATATTCGTAATAGAACAGCCTGCTGGACTGCTGCTGGTGTGTTAGAGTTGGAATATGTGTATAGCTGAAAAGTGAACGGCTGCCTTTTAAATACTGTACTTTCTTTCTCTTATTTTCCCAGGCAAAAATCGGTCTTTCAGATACCTGTACCATAGGGTATATATCAGGCATGGGCAAACTTGGGCCCTCCAGGTGTTTTGGACTTTAACTCCCACATTCCCAAGAGCTGGTAACAGCCTCAGGCCCCCTCCTTTTCCCCCTCAGCCAAAGTGACTGAGGGGGGAAAGGAAGGGACCTGAGGCTGTTAGGAATTATGGGAGTTAAAGTCCAAAACACCTGGAGGGCCCAAGTGTGCTCATGCCTGACATATATGTATAGATACAGTTGATGTTTCTTTTCTCTTGCAAGGAGCAATTGGGGAAAAAGAAAAATTCAAAGACATATTGTTAGTGGGAGAACAGTTCAGCAGGCCACCCTCATATCATTTCTCTACTCTGTTAATTTCACTGCAGCTTTTTAGTAAAACAATTATTTGAAGATTGTCCATATATCAATAAATACCCACAGCATGAAAACAAACAGTAAACTAACCAGCATGCATCCTTAATGCCAAGACATTTTGCTGACTCATACGTCCCAAACTGGAAACTAGCCAAAACTAGAAAGGAAATCAAAATATGAATTATCAGATAGTGAAGCTAATTCTGACTGCTGTATCTGGAAGCCAGGGCTTCCTGATTCATCTTAGAATCAGAGAGTTGGAAGAGACCTTGTGGGCCATTCAGTCCAACCCCCTGCTAAGAAGCAGGAAAACCGCATTCAAAGCACTCCTGACAGATGGCCATCCAGCCTCTGTTTAAAACTCCAAAGAAGGAGCCTCCACCACACTCCAGCGCAGAGAGTTCCACTGCTGAACAGGTCTCACAGTCAGGAAGTTCTTCCTAATGTTCAGGTGAAATCTCCTTTCTTGTAGTTTGAAGCCATTGTTCCACATCCTTGTCTCCAGAGCAGCAGAAAACAAGCCTGCTCCCTCCTCCTTATGACTTTCCCTCACGTATTCCCCTCACATCTTGTGTTAAAACTGTGTTGTATACTGCTTTCAAAAAGAAACCAACAACTAGAAAGTGGTAAATTGCTTAACTTTAATAAATACACATTAGCAAAACACAGACTGAAAACTACAAAAGTCCCCACTTTTATAATATATACCTTACTTTTCTTTTTTAAAAAAGAGTTATGTACTAAATCTTTACAGACCAGAAGCCAGCTTTTCACTGGTGGCATTTTACAGAAGGATCCAGAACAATGTGTACAAATGGTTAACACTTGTGCTTTCATGGAATAATTTCTCTCCCTGCCTTTGGTAAAATGTTAATTTTTTTCCTGCTTATATGTAACTACAATGCAGATTAAGGCTGTGGAAGTCCAGGTATGAATATCACATTTGCCATCAGTGAAAATACTCAGTAGTAAATCCAAGTTCAGCTACTGAATGAATACCGCTATTATTTCTTCAACAAAGAGTGTCCTGCGATAAGGGCACTCTAATTAGTTATATTCAGGACCGGGAATCAAAATAATGAGTCACAGGTATGACTAAAGCTCCAGAGAAAAGGATCACAATGTTGAATTATAAGGGATTCTGATGAATGCACAGAACACCACAAAAGCAGGAACGTCTCTATTCACTTTGTTACTGGGAATGGTTTTAAATAAGCAATAGGAAGATCCAGCATTCATTATATCAGATGATCAAGGCTAATTTTACTTTTCAAAACAGTAAGAATGTTATCTTGCAGCTTTAGCTATGACTAAAGTTGATGCATTACTTCTGCATTTATTTAGTACGACCCTCAATTATAAGCAGACGCATACACGAAAATGCATGACAGAAGGTTCAATAGCAAGTCATCTGGTCTTGTTTTATGTCATCTATACAATCAGCCACATCTGATCAATATACCAAATCTAGTAAGCTTCCAAATGGTACTATGTTACAGATAATGGATAAGGATGCTTTTCTTCAGTTGCTTACTCACTACAGTCCATGAGATTAAACTTGAATCAGGAAAATGGGTTAGTTACTATGACTACTATGTATCTTTGATACATTGGTTCCAACTTAATACATGCCAGATATTGTCTTTGCAGCTTACAGAATGTGAAAAGTTATTTGTTAGCACTGCTTAATAGGGAGATCCTGTTTTCTGACAAATGAAAAAGTAGCACACATTCAACAACGGCAATTCTAGCACAGTCAAAACATGACATAAAGGACACTTTGCTCAAAATTTTGCTAATCCTTTTTAGCACACTGAAAACAAACAACTGAAATTAACTTAGTCCCTTGCTCTCAGATCTGTTTCAGTCTATTAAATTACCCTGAAACCAACCATGTAGTATAACATTTACTTAAGACAAATGAATATCAAGGCACATTTTCTTTGGCTCAGTTGTGCTTTAAAAGAGCGACTACTTCCTTTCTTTAAATGACAGCTTCCTGAGATATTGCGACATGTGCAAATGAAAAAGAGAGAGAAAATACACAGATGACTTTCTTAAGCCTTCTTCACCAATTGTGCAAAGAATTTAAAAAAAAAACGTAACTCAAATACAGAGCAACTACTTCCATCAAAACCTGGATCCAGAGAAACATGTGCAACATGGATTCCTCTTCCCACCACCATTAATGTCCTGGCTGATAAAACCATTTCCTTCCTGAGTGGGCGGGAAAAATAAATAGGCTATCTGGATCATTTTTTTAAAGAATTATTTAAAATGTATCATGTAGTGTACTTCTTGCCAGATAATCAGTGCTCTTTAAACCTGAAAAAGAATGACAAATATTAGCAACAAGAAACAAAACCTGATAATCGGCAGAGACTTTGAAGAAGGAGCCCCCTACTTTTATATGCTTTTTAGTTTGAATGTATGACCAACCCATAGCAATTTAAGGCAAGGAAAGCTATTTTAATCTATTTCTCTTTCTCTCTCTCTCTCTCTCTCTATATATATATATATATAAAAGTCAAAGTCTGTTTGTTTGTTTGTCTGTCAGTACCACATGTTGCTAGGAAAGGGTTGGCCCTTGATGATGTCATTGGATTGGCCCTTCTGTGATGTCACTAGGAAAGAAGGGAATGAAGTATGAAGTATGAGGGGAAGGGAGGCAGGAAGAAAGGAAGTGCGGGAAGAAAGAAAAAAGAGGGGGGAAGGGAAAAGCAAGGATGGGGGAGAAAGATGAAGGGAGAGAGAGAAAAGGAAATGGAAGGGAAAGGGGAAAGGCATGAGGGGAGGAAAGAAAGAGAAAGCAGAAGGCAGTGTCCCCACTGACACCTGGGAAACGCTGGGTATATACACTAGTTCAGTGGTTCTCAACCTGTGGGTCCCCAGATGTTTTGGCTTTCAGCTCCCAGAAATCCTAACAGGTGGTAAACTGGCTGGGATTTCTGGGAGTTGTAGGCCAAAAGATCTGGAGACCCACAGGTTGAGAACCACTGCGCTAGTTATACATAATTAGCCCCACTGAGTGTGTTTATATTTCAAAAAATAAATAGACAAATAAAATCGACTGTTAATCCAGTAGCTAAGTGAATGGTACAAGAACCTCTTATGATTACAAAAGCTTAGTTAATTACAAGGTGGTTTGCAAATTCTCCTGGAAAATGGACCATCACTATAGCAGGAAGAGGGAATTTGTGTCTGTTGTTCTTGATCACTGAGCATCTGTACACATCTTTTGGCTGAAATTGCTTAAGGGTGCAATTGCTTATTGCCAACACCCTGAACTATGTTTTAAATGCAAATGGAGCCTAGCACAGGTTTAATGCACAACCGATAATCAGAGTGGGAAACGTAAGGTCTTCCAGAGGTTGAACCACTACTCCCATGACCCCAGCAAACATAATTAAAGTGGACTGCAGTCCAAGAATAGGGTCACAAGCTGCCTAGCTCTGCCCTCCAGCTTACTCCTATTAGGAATCAATCCAGTGTGATTTGTATTAACTACAGCCTCAGGAATACACGTGGTCCAGTTCCACTTTAATTTCACATGATTATATGTTATGTTTTTGTAGATTAAAAAAATCAAGCAGTGATCCAAGGAAGATATACATGAGCAGACGTGATGGAGAGTATGGTTAGCTGAAGTAAGAGTGTTATTATACACAGCTCCTTTAAGCCAAACAAAATTGAAATGTAGTATTTAGAGAACAACACATACTGTCAAATAAGCATAAAAGTGTAATAAAAGATGAAATATATTTGTACTTGTCTAATTTATATGAAAATGCTTCATTTTTTTAAAAAATTAAAAGCCTTTCCAAACATTTTTGATGAAAAATTATTTTAAAGGCTGTTATAAATACTTGTGTTCATTTCAAACATAGAAAAGGGGGAGGAAAGAACTGTTGGCTAAAAGTTGTCTCAGTATATAGGAATTTAAGAACTTACAGAGTCTGATCCAAACTACAATCAAGTTCCTTCCGTATAAGGCGGAGTAAAAACTATAGGAATGAAAAGAAAATATGCTAATTAGATATGATGACTAACAGATATCCTTCATTTTAAATTTTAAACACGATGGAGTTTTAAAGTAAGGTACTCAAGCGTTTGCAAGCACATCAGAAACAAAGAAAAAGTGAATACAGGCCGTAGTAAATGAATGTTTCTCGAATCTTAACAGAAATTCATGCCTATATGGAGCAGTTTAAAAGAAAGGAAGTACACAGTCATGTGGATAAACTGCATTGAGGATGTTGTGGTAGATTTCTGGTCTCCTGGTATAAAATGGGAAGGGCTTACATGGGATCCCTTTGATAGTTTGATAGTTTGAAATGCTGAAATATGAAGAAAACCCCACACTGGGTTGAATGTCAACTGAAGACATTTTACTGCCCAGGACAGAGCAGTAAATAATGCTCCTTTCCTACAACTCCCAAAGCACTGAAGTGATTTTGATGGCACCAAAATACAATAATACATTAAATTAACAAATGAGCTATTGCCTTTATAGACCCTTTTCAAAATCAGCTGCCTGAGGCAGCTGCCCGATTCTGGTTCACAGAAGAGGTGGCTCTGGTTGGAAGGCAACTTTACAGTAGCTCAAACGATTCTCTCTCCTACTTTTGCTTTTGCATTAGCAAAAACAGACATTTACAGGAACGGCTTTTAGTTTGAACCTCAAAAACAATTTGAGCTTCAAGTAAAATATCATATCTCATGCTCAAGTCTTTGAAAACCGAAGACAATCCACATCTCTACAAAACAAGTCCTCTCAAGACTATCCTATTTCAATAAAACCAGTAAAAATAGAATTAAGGATGAATCTGAAAACAGAACACAGAGAACCTCTATGATTCGCTGCCTTTAGTCTTATGTCAGTAATGCCTTATGTGGCGCTGCGGTGGCCCAATGGGTTAAACCTTTGTGCTGACTGAGCTGCTGACTGCTATCATCAGCATATAAAATACACTGTTCCAACCTGAAGGTTGGCAATTCGAATCTGTGAGACGGGTGAGCTCTCATCTGTCAGCCCCAGCTTCCCATTTGGAGACATGAGAGAAGCCTTCCACAGGATGGTAACACATCTGGACATCTCCTGGGCAACGTCTCTGCAGATGGCCAATTCTCTCATATCAGAAGCAACTTGCAGTTTCTCAAGCCACCTCTGACATGATTAAAAATGCCTTATGTAATTAGGAAACCTGTGGAAAAATATTTTTCAGATTGTTTCGAAAATCAGACTACAGAATATTAAGTGTTAAGTTTTAGTGTTTCAGTAATAATAACCATGGTACTGTTTGGAGGATAAAGACAAAAAAAAATCAGTTCTCTTTATTGAACTGCTTTTCATGTTATCACTTGTAAACACACGAAGAATTTATAGTTGCTAATAGCAAAGTATATTTGGATAGTTTCTTTTCTATCTACTTTTTAAAAAATCTATTGGTGAATATGCATTGTATAGAAACTAAACTGCAGTTGTCCCAATATGTTTCAGAATACTACATTTAGTCACGCTTTGGAACTCTGCATTTTCAAACAGCTATGGGCATCTTGTTAAAGCTGAACCCTGGATGTAAACAAATGAGCCAAATTAGAACAGAAACATAATATTATGGCAGACTTACTAATAAGGCACAGGCATCTGCTATCATCAGCATATAAAATACATTGTTCCAACCAGAGGGGGAGAGGAGACCTGCTAACAAAGGTCCTAAAGCTGCACCTAAAAAGCAATACACACAAATTAATGGAATATTACACAAGAATTAGTATATATAATTGGCAAGAACAATGTACTGAAATCTCAACAATGAATAAGGCTTCTCTATATGACGTTACTGCTTTACCACAAAATTGTAAATATTACAGTAGTTAGGATTCTAACACGAATGAAAAGGAGGGGAGGATTATGAAAATGCAAACTACTCTTCATGCATAACAGTTGCAATTATTTGCATATTATCACATGCTATCATGGAAAGATTTCATAGATCATTCCAATTCTTGGCTTCTAACACAGGTATATTATAAACGATGCTTACCTACAGAACCTGTTCCATCAATGATGGCTGTAACTGTGGATAGTGCTCTTGCATTTCCTTTAAGACTCTTATGTGTACCCTTTAAAAGCAAAATAATCAGTCTTTGATGTTTCAATATAAAGGGAATGGAAACATTTGAAAAGAAGTTAAAACAATATCAATAACTATGTTTAGTATACAATTTCATGACATAATGCATGCAATAGCACTATCAGGTAAATTATTTTGTGAAACATTTTTCCAAAAAGTAGGCTTCTTGGAGTGAAAATTTAACACAGAGTAGCATCTAATTTGTAAACTCTAAAAAGAGGCTGAAATGCATAATGTGTAAGCAGTAGACTACACATTACTGGAGTTTTGAACTTAGACCACACTTTGATTTCCATGTAGTTATGCTACTACTATCACTCCATATATAAACTGTTTTAGAGGTTAGCTTCACAAAGGAACTGCCTTTAGGATAAAATAATAGCTTTTCCTAATCCATCTTCTTCAAAGATCGCATTGGAGTAATAGATACTGGGTACCCTTCACCTCTTTCTAGGGTGAAGAGAGATAATTGTACTTGAAGTCTTGATTGATGTGACAGCTATCTCTCTCTGTGGTTTCTATGCTTCCCTAGAACTTTGCCTTCCTCCCTTTCATGTGTCCTTATTTTTGTTAAAAGGAACAGGAAAGAACTCACCAAGTCAGCTGACACAGCTGTTGTGATCAATGCATAAGGACCATTTACAAGAGCTCCACAGATGAGTAACATAACTTCAAATGAGATGAAAAATACGTATTAGTTATTCAGAATTGATGTGGATTCCAGAAATACGTAAGAGTGTGTAATATTGTTTATTCAATGTGTATGTTTATTAAAACAGAATAGCTATGAGATTATAACCAGTGTAAATATCATTTTCCAAAACACCTAATAAGGCAAAAATGGTAATCAGGTAGAATGTTCTTGGCATAAAAATGCGACATAAAGGAATGGCATCAGTCTCCTTATTTGACATATTGAATCAAGTATGCTGAATTGAAGAGACACTTAGCTTACTACAGCTCTTCTAATTAGGACTGAAGAGGTGCCAAGTTCACAACAAAGCAGTAGCAATGGCAGACATAGAAGCAAATGAGGACTGAACATGAAGGCTAAGAACGAGTATCTAATCATTGATCTTCTATGCCTCCTCTCTATAGGAAGTTTTAAATGGTTTTTTATATGAGAGTAAAAAGGGAGTCATTTTGATCTCTTTTGGAAAGGAGTTCCCGAGGCGGCGTCGGGGGGGAGGGGGTTGGGACCACGGAAATACATGGGTGGGACCAAGTGTAGGGCCTCATCTGTTGATCAAAGCACCTGAGCAGGCTTGTATGTGGAGATGTGGTTAGCCCAATAACAGTCTGGGCCTAAACCGTTTAGGGCTTTATAGGTAATGACCAGCACTTTGTATTTCTCCTGGAAGCAAACTGGCAGCCAGTGGTTCTCTCCTTGTGTGGAGTGGTTCTCTCCTTGTGTGGAGCCCCAGTTAGTAATCTGGCTGCAGATATCTGGACCAACTGGAGCTTCCAAACTATCTTCGAAGGCAGTCCCACGTAGAGCATGTTGCAGTAATCCAAATGGGATGTAACTAAGGTGTGGACTACCATGGACAGACCTGGTGTTTCAAAGTATGGGTGGAGCTGGCGCACAAGCTTTAATTGTGCAAAGGCACTCCTGGCCACCACTGACACCTGGCCTCCAGGGTTAGCCATGAGTCCAGAATCACCTCCAAGCTACATACCTGTGTCTTCGGGGGGAGTGTAAGCCCATCCAGCACAGGTTGTATCCCTATACCCTGATCTGCCTCCTTACTGACCTGTCTTGTCAGTATTTAATTTCAATTTATTAGCCCTCGTCTAGTCCATTACTGATGACAGGCACCGGTTTAGGGTTGGCTTTTGGTGGAAAGGAGCAATAGAGTTGGGCGTCATCTGCATATATATGACACAAACTCCAAAACTCCAGATGACCTCACTCAGCAGTTTCACATACATATTAAACAACATGGGAGACAAGATAGAACCCTGAGGGTCCCCACAGGCCACAGGGTGAAACAGAAGTCCCCCAACACCACCTTCTGAGTCCAGTCCTCTAGGAAGAAACAGAGCCACTGCAAAACAGTGTCTCCTAATCCCATCCCAGTGAGATGACCCAGAATGATACCATGGTCGATGGTATCAAACGCTACTGAGAGGTCCAGAATAATAGGGACACACTCCCCTGTCTAGCTCTCTTTGTAGATCATCTACCAAGGCGACCAGTGCCATCTCTGTTCCATGACCGGGTCTGAAACCAGATTGAAATGGATCCAGATAATTGGTTTCATCCAAGAAACTTAGGAGCTGAGACGCCACACCCTTTTCCAGAACCTTGGCTAGAAAGGGGAGATTTGAGACTGGCCGAAAGTCGTTCAGCTTAGTGGGATCCAACTCTTCTAATCTTTAATGAGAAAGGGTGTGTTGATATGTCTGAACACTCCATGGAAAAAATTAAACCACAAGAATATTTTGCTATTCTCTAAAAGAAAAAGCTAAGCACTTTCTTTTAGATAGATATAGCAAGAAACATTAGGGATTTCCAACAAAAATATTTTTTCAGATAATTTGCGCTGAACACTTGTGAAATGGGAGATCTTGTCACAGGAAAGCCTACCTAAAGTGATCTCTCACCTTACAGAAATTCTAGATTTAAAAATCAGAATTGGGGATCGTCTAGGTCAGTCCCAAATCTCATTAAATTCTCAAAATTTGTATCATACTTGAGAAAATTGAGAACTCACCTATGGTGGCTTCGGGGCCCATTCTACTAATTGCAGAGAATGCATACAACTAAAGCAGGTAAAAGCAATACATGATTAGTTCAAATCATCAAGAAACTTTACATATAGAACAAGTTAAAGAACAAAGGAAAAACATGGAAAAGTATCAATGGGATTTGTTTACAATCATTCAACAATGACCAAAGATGACAGTGTGTTCCTAAATATTGTTGATATTGCAGTAAATAGAGAGGAATAAGGAAAGTCAGAGGAACCCATTGGGGAAAAGTACAGTAGAGATGCTGTGGTTCAGGGGTAGAAGATTTTTAATTAATGTTTATAAGTGGATTATGTTGAATACCACTTTAATTTTTGTATTTCAAATGGTTTTAGCTGTGTTGTTTTAATGCTTGGTGTAAGCTGCTTTTAGTTTCATATGGGAGAAAGGTCGGATATAAATTACATAAATAAAATAAGATTCTGAACAGACTCTGAGCAACTGCAAGAAAAACCTATTTGAATGAGTCACAAAGATCAGGAAGTAAAATTGTTTGCTCCCAGTAAGAATACTTGCTCTGTTTGCTAGACATGAGTTAATAAATAACCAATAATTTGGATTCTGGAATCTATAGATTATCAAATCAAAGTTAAATTAAACTTTTTATAAAATCCTCTATCACTGACTGCCATTTATCTTCAGAATAATAAAAAACGCCTACAATTTTACTTTATTATTCCTCTTACTGTGGGTGCTGCAACCAAGAGCATCATGCCACAAGTTGTGGCCCTTTTTTTCAGACGATCTGATATCACACCAGCCAAAATTCCACCTGCAGAAAAAGAAGTGTTCATAGTATTGAATGGCAATCCTTATAATTTTACATTATAGATCACTCTGAAATACATTTTCTCCTGATATTGATATTTAAAAGTGCCTTAGATATACACCAGCCCCCAAACTAATGCTAGTACTATTCTTTTTTACATTCTTGCATTGAAATTGTTCTGAGGGAATAGCTTTGGTCTTTTCCAACCTTATTCTTCAAGCAATGACAGAGTGTGATTAAAAAAAAGAACCATCCTCTTACTAACCCTACAGTGACCAATCAGATGCTTCTGAAAGGACTATAAGTTTGGGGTAGAACTTGTAGACTTTTCAGAAGCATCTGATCAGTCACTATAGAAATCATAACAGATGTCTGGTTTGAAGTAGAAAAACTCTTTTAAGTTCTTAACTTTTCTAGTCTTTTCTCTTTCTTTTAGTAATTCTTCTTTCAATGCCTTCAGCTATCACTTTTGTGCTGATTACAGCTCAAAAGATTACAGGAGAAACCAATTTGGAAGCAATCTCTACCTGCCTGCCATCATTTCCCACTGGATTTCCTGCTAATGCTTCTTAAGTGAACATCACAAAGTTGGTGTTCTTGCTTACGCCAACAAAGTCTTTCCCTTGTTGCTTTTTAAAACGATTATTGTTTCCTCAGTTCAGATGCCTCTATTGTCTCTAAAAACAGAATGCTAACTCCTAGTTCTATTCCTAAACCAAGTTATTAAATCTCATCAGTACTACTTTTCCAGTATCCCCTCAAAAATTGCCTTTTCTCTAAGATTTTTCCTACTACTAAAGCCATATTTTCTTCATTTTGCTTTTCTGTTCAACAACAGAGCTTATAGGACCTGCTCCCAACTTACGGATTTATTTGTAGCTCTTGCTTCTAAGAGCTAAAGTATGCTGTCCATTTAAACATACACTGGGCCCACCAGATCCATGAGCTCTGGATCTGTGATTTCCACCAACTATGGATCCTTATAAAAGGATGGTGACATGAACAAGCTCTGGGTCATCTGTGCACATACCATTGACATTTAATCCTATGGAATGGAATCAACTGCTGTTGTGAGGGTTTTTTTTTTGCATCCATGGACCTGAATCCCCACAAATCCGTAGGGCACCCTTTATGTATGGACAGTTTTAGAGTAATAAACAGATACACACTCACCAAAGATTCCTCCAACATCAAATAGTGTGGAAAGATCACCTGCTTTCTTGGCATCAAGGTGTTCTACAGTGAAAATATGGGATAAACGGTTTAGACATTTCAGCTGATATGAAAAGGCTCAGGAGAACAATTATCAGAGGAGTGGTGTGTAAATGACCCTTCCTCAACTTCATCCCTTCAAATAAGAAGGAATTAAATTACTAAATGTAAGTTATCATTTTGGAAATATAATGAGTATTGCCAATTCTGCCTGATACGTATACCTAATAATAAATTGCTGCAGGGAAAAGGATCAAATTCCATAAACCATTAAGTTGATCTATAAACAGTGAAAATACCCTGCATTGGTCAATTTATTTTATGCTATCAGAGTATGTTTCTTGCTTCTCTGTTCTAACAAAATATTCCTTTATCAGATCTAATATAAGATACACATAACAGATTATATTCTATGAAATTCATGGGGTCATCATAAATTGACAGGTTAGCTGAAGACAGATATACACACAAAAAACCACCAGGACTCCAGCCATAACCAACTGCAATTAAACTAAAACTTGGAGACTAACAATATAGTCTCTTAATGTATTGCTATTAGAAGACATGCTTTAGAAGGTGTATGCTAAAATAATCTGCTGTACTAAAGAGGTCTGCATCTACTATTACTGAAATTCTGTAATCAGCTATATTTAATTATGTAACCTCTCCTAGGCAGATCCTGCCAAATGTGATGGAAACATCATTCACTATGCCCTAATCAGTAATATAATGGGCCTACTTTTCCCCACACAGTTGATGCCTCATAAAGTTAGTCCTGGATGGCATGGAAACAATGTCACAATCATGACTAAATAGTTATCCATAACTATTTAACATTTATGATCTTTTAGCATAGTAGTATAAATGCTGGACTAGGACTCTGGGAGACCAAGATCCAAATCCCTGCTCAGGCAGGGGAAAGTAATGGTAAAACCCCTCTGAATAAATCTTGTCAAGGAAAGTATAGAATAGGGTTACCACAACTTGACATCATTACAGGATATAATAATAAGTTTGATAAAGTAAAAAAAAAAAAAAGCAGGACATGTATGTAACCAGGAAGGAAAACAGATCTAAGATTTAGAGGTGTATTTTATAATTAATACAAGGCAGACATCTGTTCCAGGGTGCTTCCTGGTTACATACAAATCAAATGTGCTGCAGAAGATTTATGATTAGGATCTACTGCTATTTTTTGATAATTGCTAGGCCTGTGGGGATAATTGAAAACTGAATTGATTAAGCTCTGGTAAAGTGTAATTTTCCCAGAGTAATTTCTCTTTCCCAGTATTGCCAATAATTCTGACAGAGTGAGGAAAAACAGGAACAACATCTTGCAGAATGCAGTAATACATAATGTTCTACAAAAATAACTAAGATTTGTGGTTTCTTAAAGTGTAAAATATACATGATGCACCATACATTATTACGAATTCAAGCTTTCTGAACAAAGCAGAATGACCATAGTACATATTGTATAATCTGCTTGAATGTAGCTGGAAAATGTGTGTCTAGTACAACAGTACATCCCTAATTTACTTTAAACATTTCTAGGGTTGAGAAACAATTCAAATACTGTGTGGATGAATTCATAACTGAGCAAATATCTGTATTAGATAACAATCTCATTTCTCAAGAGATAGACACTCACTATATTGTTCTGTTCAGTAAAGTTTTAAAAATTTAACTAGAGGGCAGGAAGCAACTCTTATTTTACATCAATGATGGGGGACCCGTGACACTGACTTGTTAACCGCTTAATTCTTCTTGTGTTGGGTGAAGCTCCTGAAGATGATATTGTCAGGCATTTTACCATCAAGAGTTTCATGCAATTATGCAAGTCCTTGGGTCCTGGAATTCTGCATATCACAATTCAGGCTGATACTACTAACTAACAAACAAAAGAAAATTGTACCTCCCCATTTATTCTGTTCATTCCTCCTACTGCAATACTGCACATTATGGCATTTGATCTAATTTTACCATTATTCTATTGGGCTTCCTCATGTCTTGTTTTTGGAAATTTCTATTTGTAATGCTTCATAAGAACTACCCTGATATTGTGAAAGTTTTAATCTGCAGATTGGTTCATTAATTCATAATGCACACTTCCAATCCAAGGCCAGTACTACAACCTTACACTTCTCCATTAATTCCAACCTTAACAGGTGGTGAGAAAAATTCCTTGCAAACACATACACATCCAGCTCTTCCTGCCCTACACTTTTGCCTGGTCAATCTAGCAGCATGCAGGTACCCTTTTCCTTCTTTGAAATGCAGTGGAGCTGCTATGGTAACAACTATATCAGATATCCTGGGACAATTATATATACCAGGGTTCTCACAGTGACATATCATATCTGTCAACAAAGAAAGAAGGAAGGAAACTGTATAATGTTGCTACTGAAAATGCCATATTAGGAGTTCTCTGGAGATAAATTGGGGCCTGATTTAGTTTTCTGATAATAGCATCTTCAGGAGCATCACCCAACATAAGAAGAACAAGAGGAACTCATAGCTTAGTGTAGATATAAACAAGATGTTCCCCCCTCCTCAGGTTTAAGGAAAATAGTAAAATTATATGAATAAAAGCATGTATCAGTCAAACCCCTGGAACTCTGACCACCACTATCCAGAATTGAAGCTACCACTGTTTCTCATAGAAACATTATACAGTATCCAGAAAAATCATAACAATGCAATACTCTCTCTTTGGTCAAGCACAATATTTTACAAGATCATCTTTACATGGTGCTGTAAAAACTTACCTACATTTGTGATGTATAATGGAAGCCAGAAAAGAAAAGTGTAGCTGACCAATTTGGCAAATAACAGACAAAGAGAGAATTCCACAACTCCCTACAGAGAATGGAAAATAAAATCAATTTTGGAAAAAAAAAAACTGAAACAAAATTAAGAAATAAACACTAAGCACATTTTCTCCTCACTTGGACAATTTAGCTTAAGCAAAAATCCCAAAGTAATGTCTGTCCCTTAATCCCAATACCAGGATTCAAATTTAGTACTGTGCATTGCAACTATCCCTGGTGTACTTGCTTCCTTTGAGCTTTTATGTGTCCCTGGTGAGTTAGAAAATGGGATTACTTGTGGAATTTGATAATGGATATAGATGTGAAAACAGATCATTCAATGACAAGAGGACTGTATAAAAGTCCCATGAAATAGATGACATCCAAGCCATTACTTTTTAGCACAGAGACTTTTTTCTAAGTTCTGTTTTGTAATCAGATCTATCCATTCTTTGTAGTATTGCAGGGGAAAACTGGCACGTTAAACACTTGAAACACAGGAATTATTTATGTAAATATCAGTACTAATCAATATTGTTTCAAAACATACCAGTGGGGTAGCAAGGGGAAGAAACTGCTGCACAAAACCAGTAATGGTATCTCCATATCTTTCTGATAACAAGCACTACATAGTGACCACTTCACGTGTTGTTTGCATAGCTACACATGTTGTCAATGGGAAAAAAGGTACAATTCAAGGTACTATCTCTATTCTATCTGGATTTTGTAACACAATTAGAGCATAGGCCAAGTCACAATTCCAAACTGATACCTGTTTCATACTCACAGGTATTCGCAAAGCTCCAACAAAGCTTATAGCAAACTTTCCTTTTTCAAGTTCCTCAGATACTCCATTGTTATGATGTAGTAGTTTTACACAGTTTTCATTTTCAGGTAACAGACAGTGCATCTCTGGATCCTATAAAAGATTCCATCAAACTTAATAAGGAAAATAAGATGTGCACTTAAAAAAATGAAACCATGTGCTACTTGTATTGTTGAAACAGAACTAATATGAAATTTTATGAAATAATGTTTTTGACATGTCAAGCTTTGCTTGATACAATATATTTATTAACAACTCCAAGTGTTGCAGGTTCATTAACGAGAAGTTTAGCACATTCCAAAAGAGTGACTTTGTTACTAGCAACATTAATATAATTACTTCCCTTCCAAAATGCATATTCTTATAGAAATAACTATATTGGCTGGACAGCAGAATTTATTACTTGAAGTACAGTGAAGCCAAGGTAACCTCCATTAATACTGTCATGGATAATTCATTAAATGTCTTCAGGTTTCGAACTGCAGTAATTACCAAACCATTCAAGTATGCAAATTGGTTTTAGCAAGGTTAACTTGTTTCTGTAGTTAAATCCATGGCATATTATTTAAACAAATCTTCAGATTCTGCAAAAATAACAACAGTCCTATTTGTATTTTCAGTAGCTGTTATACTCTGTTTGTATTAAAATGGCAACTGCATGACTTCTTTTCATCTTTTTGATTTAATTTAAGGAGAGGGGGATGTAAAGGCCTAACTTAGCCCTGAAAGGAATTAAAACAAAATTTTTATAAATCTGATTATGTTTAATGGCATCAAGTTAAAAAGAAACATACTATCACATGAATTATTTTCACTCAATTGCTGTTTTATTCATATGATCTAATGTTTGCCAGGAAGAAACATGTGACAGGGTAGTGAACCAAACTCATATCATGTGACACATTATTTCCCCACATTGTGTAAAAACTTGGACTCTCAAGAGTGAGCTCAATGCCAACCTACTCAGTCCATGATGGAAACACAAGTAGATTGGGAAATATTTGATGCAGAAGCATTGCTGAGCCACGTCAAAGCAAAGACTAGATCATACTTCAAACATTGCTCTCCAGATTTCCATATTGTTTATACACAAAACTCCTCATAGGCTATCACTTGTGGCTGAATATGATTGCCTTCCAAGTGTAGGGTATTAGGGTGGGTCTGTAGATGGGTGTAGAGGCCTATTCTTGTTCTGCATGTTCTTTCACAGTGAGGATATTGATTTCAAGATGAAAGGTGGCCCCAATAATGGTTGGCTTGACACGTCGTCCTCTTAACATGTTTCTCCCTTTCGCCCCACATTTGTGCCTCTTCAAATTCTACAGCACTGTTGATAACAGCTGACCTCCAATTAGAATGCTTGAGGTCTGAAGCAGTTGAATACGTCCACAGCTGTATCCACAACTGAGCAGCCCTTTTTAGGATCTGTTCTGCTCACCCCACATGAATATGGGGCTAGAAAAGGGGCTGGAAAAGGTGCCTTAAAAGTAGTCTGACTCTCTTATCTCTGACTGGACTGCCACGTCCACAGGGGTCACCACCTTTTGGCCAGTTTTAAAACCCCCACAAAACTATATTCTGTTAACAATCAAATCTCATTAGCTCTCAAGGTTTTAAGAAGAGGATAGCCTGAAAGTTATTTTGCTTAAAAATATAAAAGCAGCATTTAAACTGGTATTTTCACCCAGAAACAAACAGTAGGAGTCCATGTATTAATAAAGTCACCACAACAGTGTACTTCATAATACTTTAGACTGGTTGGAATAATAGATGTTTAATAAAGAGCTTATTGGAAAAGATCTGTTCAAGTATGCTTAGTAATGCTTACTATCTGAATAAGGAGGTGCATGGGGATTGAAAGGAAGCTTGTATATGTGTGTATAAACTAATAAAGATTTTTTAGGAGGCAATATCAACTTTTTCCCAGAAGCAGACAATGATTAACCAGGAAAGTGGAAAATCAAATATGTTCCTTAGAGAAAGATATATATATACACACACACACACACACACACACATACATACGCACGCACGCATGCACACTACAAGCAAATACTGTTTGACATCATACAAGCATGTTTTCTGTTGCACATAGGCAATCTATTTTTATTATTGCGCTCAAAAATATAACTACAAAAACATTTTCCTTTACCTGAGATGTGTTTGCTTTCTTACTGGTTAACTTTGCTTTATGAATGCTAAATCTATCTGACCTATTCTTGCAACGTTTGGAATCCTGAAAGACATTTTAGTAAGAATTGAGAGAAGACAGAAGTATGACACTATGCTGCTAGAAAAGCAGTTACTCAATTGGCTGTGCTTTCTCAGAAGTTGTGTAACTGCAATCTATAGTGCAGCCAAACATTTTGCAAACAGATATAAACTGCTCATTTTCACGCTCTTGAATTGGTGTATGGAGAACTGACTGATTGTAGCACACCTATTGTACATTGCTCCATTAAGTATAACAATGCTGGCATATATTTTTAGGTTACGCTAAGAGAGATTTTGTTCTTAAGTGCTACCTATAATTAAGTCTTAAATTATTAAAGCATGGAATTTCTGAATGAAAACAGCATGAATTAGACTTTTAAAACTTCTTATGGTTGACTTTTATCTACAATACCTACCAGAAAGCTTAGGTAATACAAGGAATGTAATAATCCCAATCTCTTGCTACAAGATGGGAGTGATTGCCACTATGATCCTTCTGAGGCTGGATCTCCACTGCCAAATAATCCCGTTTCTGAATCCAAATTATCTGCTTTGAATTGGATAATAGGAGTCTACAATGCAATGTAATCAAGTTCGAAGAAGATAATCTGGACTCAGAAACTGGATTGAATGGCTGTGTAGATGGGGCCTGAAAGGCATCAAGAGTCCCTTCCTTAGGCAAAGGGTTTGAGTGGGCACCAGAATGTATCTCTCCACTCCAGGCCTATCTGTTGCTGGCTACCTACAGGGTAATCTGCAGTGTAGATGAATTGTCCAGCCCCTTAAGCGGTGCCTCATACCAGGCCAACACTACTGTACTTAGCTGTATATGTAATGAAGTTGTGACTATTGGATGGCATTCTGTTAGTTAATTACAAAGTTTACAATTCAAATTGTAAATGCCCCTGAAATCAACTTTAAAATTCAGCTAAGCAAGCAGGAAGATGAAATGTCCAGTCTCCTCCTGCCAGAGATATGTGATGTGCTGAGAAGTTGCAAACTGTAGAATGATCTGCTGGAAGAGGTCTACAGCTAATTGAGCTGTTGTCATTAAAAAAACAAACAAAACAAATCAAAAAACAAAACAAATAAAGACCTATCTCTTTTGGCAGGCCTTCCCAGTCAGTTTTAACTAGGGACTTTTAAATCACATTCTATGTTTGTTGTGTTTAAACTTTTGCCTCAGTTATTTTAATATGTGTATGTTTTAATGTATGCCTTTATGGTTGCATTTTAACTATGTTTTAATGTGATTTTATAGATGCATTTAATGACAGTATTGTGCCCCACCTCGAGCTGAAAAGAGAGGTGGGTAAAAACTAAAAATTTATTATTAGTAGTAGTAGTATTACAGGACCCCAAAATCTGCATAGATACTTGGGTAGGGGGAGCTTCCATCAATACAACGAGACTTGCAAAATTCATTCAATCATGCAATTTAAAGCCTTTACTTACATTGGATGATGATGTACTTGTGCAGTTTATATCCTTAGGATCTGAAACAAAGAAGCAGACATTATTCTTGGATTGAAGTATGATTTATTTTGCCAAAATAACAACATAAAATAACTAAAAATGCTAACTGAAATTAAAAGGGAATGATTTTATTTGAAATATGGTTCCTGGATGATTTATTTTGCCAAAATACTAACACAAAATAACTAAAATGCTTATTATAATGAAAAGGGCAGATTCATATCTGACTCCAATAAAAAACCAATACTTGCACCGTGTCAACTTAATGTCACTTGTAGATTTTTTGATCTACAATCAAATGTAGAGAATGGGATAGAACATGTGTGCCCGACTTGCCCAGACACTTTTCAGTTCCACTCCACATTCTTTGTTCTGTTTCTTCAGAAAATTAGGATTGTTGTTTTACAAAAAGAAGACGGAGGTGTTGTGTGGCTATGAACAAATATTAGTCAATCGTGGCTTTTAGTACTTTATGAAGTCATTACAACACAGACACTTACGTTCAATCAGAAACAAGAAGCAGACTATCCCCATTAGAGATATGATAATGCCAGGCACCACAAAAGACAGACCCCAGCAGGTAGACACCCAGTAGCCAGCTATTAAAGATCCTAAAATGTTTCCTACGGAAGTATGGGAATTCCATAATCCCATTATCAATCCTCTCCTACAAAAAAGGAAAAAGAAAAATTATCTTTATTAATTTTATTCACAGTAAACGTAAGAAGGAGAGACATTACTTTAAATGTTCAAATCTCTCAGGCATTTCTAGGCAAATATATGTAGTATTTTGTTCTAAAGTGCTATTCCATTAGTATTCAGTCCCAGCTCAACATAATTTTGCTGCCTGGTGTAAAGCACAAGATCATTCTCTCCATCTTCATGTATAGCATTGCTTCAGTGTTGATGAGACTATATTTACTGTATCCACTATTACACATGAGGACAGGGGGCTAGTTTATAGGCAACAGGACAAGTGGCCAACCCTTGCCCTCCAGCACCAAACTATCACCATTTCATTTGGCACCTGTTAGAATTAATATCAAAACATAGCATTATAGTGCCACTGCAGGTGGACAGACTCCCACAAGAAAGCCACAGCTTTGAGACTTCAAAGCCTGTTGATGAAGGGTGACTTGGAGATCTCTCGTTCATAGTGCCACTATCAGTCAAAGCTGACAATGACAATCGCATTACTACAGAGCATTTTAAAAGAAAGCGTCACAGGTCATACTCCCCATCCCAAAGTTACATGAATGGAAGCTTCTCCACTACATACAACCCTGACAGCAGGGTGTATTGAAAGCTATTTTACTCTCTTCCTTACTCTCCTAATAAGCAATGCTTAACTACATAATTGTACAGAAAAACAAAGCATTTAATAGTATATAAATATGCATATCTTAGAGTGCATTTGAAATACTTGTGAAATAGCCTAGATTATTTAATATGTGTTTGATACTCCAGCCAACCCCATCTGATGAAGACAACAGGTTATAGAAGATTTACCTTCCTTTCCCAAACCAGTTGCCAACGCAGGTTACCACACTGGGCCAGCCAGTAGTTTGTACTAATCCATTAGCAATCTGAGAAAATAAAATAAAAATGCAACAGTAATCCTGAATATTTCACCATTATATTAGAACTGATATTGGGAGAAAAGTAGAATATAAATTAAATAAAAAAACAAAAATGATTATGCAGTAAGTCAGATTTATAAAAATCAAAGTGGTTTATAACACTGGCCATAAAAATAATGTTTTTTAAGTACAGTTTTTATTAATCAAAGGATACATGATGATTATTCAGATTATTTCCGTGTTACTGTTTAGTCCTACAATACTATTGGGAACTGGTGGCTACCCTTTCTCTAATCCTGATAGGTCGCCCTTATTAAAACCGACAGTATCTGGGAGATCTTCTTGCCTATGGAAATGTGTGCTGTTATTGAGCAGATTTCTCTTTTGCTGTACCCTTATTGGAAATGTGTGATTAGTGAACAGGCATCAAGAACAGATTTCAGCCCTTAGGGCCTTGAAATCTTCTCTTAATTTTAAAACATGAGCAGTAAAAAATAAGGTAATTGAAACATATATCCACCAGATCTCATTAGCCTCATCTAACCACAAGTTCATATTTTCAACCAGTTCTAGACATGCATTATCTTATGCTTTTAATTCCACATGTACACTGTTTTCTAACAACCAAAGGTTTCCTTAACAGGCATATCTGTATGTGTGTATATGCCTCCAATCACCTGTCAATTTATGGCAATCTCACGAATTTTCAAAGATTGTCTTACTCAAAGAATACTCAAAGAAGGGTTGCCATTCCCTTTTATATCAAGGTTTTATTACATAATATTAAAATAACTCCTAACAGAAAAGGTCCAGGTCCAGAATCTTACAACAATAAGGAAGATGTGAGGCTGCAGGTGGTGTTGCAAGAGGAAATACTCGAGGGCAGAAGGCTTAGGTCATCGATCAAAACACATGATTAGTTTTGAAATACTATATGCACAAAAACAACTTTGTTAATTGTTCAATGAAAGTTTTGAATTCTTAACATTAATATACAACCACCCTGAAAGCAATTGAAAAATCTAAAGGTATAATTCCAAAACGTGACACTATGAAGGAAACCAACAACCAAATCAGATCTTGCTATACATGAGAGATAAAATTGACTGGATTAACATTGTCTTTACACCTGAGCAAGAAGAACTTTTGCAGTACAGATTTCAATGAAAGTAAAATTAATCCAGAATCATGTTTCCCAAGTTATTATAGAGGTAGTTTCAAAGACAGAAATACTGAATCCCAGAACCCTCACCTTAGATAAACTGCTTTAGCAGTTATCAATAGTTGCCATTGTGTGCACCAGGATGTACTGCTATCTAAGCCAGACAAGGAAATTCAGAGTTGCTAGGCAACTGCCAAATGATTCTGTTGTTCCTGGTTTGCATCAGTGCTGTTTTTCATTCACTCTTAGCCTCAACAAAGTAGGTCTGAACATTACTTGTATTTTCATAGGAGAAATAGCAAGGTGTAACCCTATGGCCTCATGACCACCTTTATCCAAAATGTAGACACTAATGCTATTTAATAATCTTGATTCTCCAAGGATAAAGATTTTTTTAAAAAAATTGCACCTATTAAAACTTGTAGATATTTAGCTTGTCTGTTGTTCCTACACGTTCAACACTATAGGGGTCATTTTGTACAGGGTACATCCACACTGCACAATTATAACACTTTGATATTACTTTTAGTTTGTAGCTGCGTCATACGGAATATTGGGATTTTTTGTTTGATAAGGTTCTTCATATTCATAGTGCCCTCCTCTGAATTACAGCATCAGTTTTTTTCTTAAAACACAACTTGGAAAATGTTAAAAGGGGGTTAGACACATTCATGTGGAGTAAAGGGCACCAGCAGTTACCTGTCATGAGATACATATATATCAGGCATAGGCAAACTTCAGGCCTCCAGTTGTTTTGGACTTCACCTAGCACAATTTCTAACAGCCAGTAAGCTAACTGGGATTTCTAGAAAATGAAATCCAAAACACTTGGAGGGCCAAAGTCCCATGCCTGATATATATACTTTAGCATCAAGAGTCAGCACATCTCTCAATACCAGGGGAAGACAAGTGTGTGTGTGTAGGGGAGATCCTATACATCTAGATTGTTTTTAAGGGCAAATAGCTTTTAAATTGTTATTTATTAATGCTTATGTTATTTTAAATTGTACTATGTGATAATTTGTTTATTGTTGTTGTTGTTCATTATTTATTGCTATATTAGTTTTGTATTTGTTGATTGCTGTAAGTCATCCCTAGTACCGTCAGGGAGATGGGAGGGTATAAATAAAATGTATTATTATTATTATTATTAGTAGTAGTAGTAGTAGTAGTATTGCACTGAGTCCTCCTTGTGGGTTTACCACTGGCATCTGGTTGGGTTTTGGACAAGTACAATTCTGGGTTACGTATTCCTTTGGCCTGGCCCAGTATTGCTCCCCTAAATGCTGAATGCAATATTATTTCAGTTAATGGCAGTTTTCTACTTGATAATTCTAAAGGACATAAAATAAAATAACGACAGAGATGCCTACCTGAGCAGCAATATAGAACCACAAATTATGTATATTGTAAAAATATCCAAATCCAAACATGGCAGTGAAGAGTCCACTGGCAAACATTCCTCCTGTGAGATAATATCGGATAGGCAACCGCTCCCCTATAATACCACTTTGCATTTAGACAGAAGAGAGACACTACTGTAAATACATATTAAAAGAAAGCTTATCTATATAACCTTTAAAATGTTAAGGTACACTATAAGAATTTGTTTGATAGGTTATGATTAAAAACTGTCAAATCTGTGTTTCACTGATAAAGCTGAAGCAATGATACGAGATTTCATTTCAAAGACAGGTTGGGAATGTTGCTTTTTACAAATTCCACAAATGCTGTGGTATTTGTTGCTTTCATTATGAGGATTTTTAAAAAGGCAATATTGAAATTACCTTTTTGTTGTTCTACAATATTTTCTGGCAATTCTAAACTTCAGCCGCAACCTTTTATTCCCATCCTTCTTTTAATAATAACAACAATAATATAATAACTTTATTTTTATACCCCACCCCCATCTCCCCGAAGGGCGGCTTACATGGGGCCAAGCCCAACAGTACAGTTAAAACATAACACATTAAAATGCATATCAACAAAATAATAACAAAAGCAATATAATAAAATAAAAACAACAACATTAAACAGTGTATAAAACAAACATCAAAACTGACAATAGCAAAGTTCAATGTCTCGTCGTGGGTGGGCAATCTGGTGCTACAGCAATAAAGGATAGAGCTAATGATTAAAGTGAAAAAAATCATATAGAAGTGATGAGAATAAGAATGATTTACCATTAAGGATTTGGATATAACAATTGTAAAGTGCTTGAGAACAAGATTTTTGGCTCCTAACCGGGGCCAGCTGTGAAGGGAATTGCCTAGTTAAAAGCTCAATGGGACATCCATGTCTTTAAGTCCTTATGGAAGGTGGACAGGGAGGGTGCTAGCCTGATCTCCTTGGAGAGGGAGTTCCAGAGGAGTCGTCATCATCGTCGTCGTCGTCGTCGGGGGGGGGGGGCAGGGACGACAACTGAGAAGGCCCTTTCTCTCGTATCCGAGCGTAAGACAGAGGTGGAAGCGAGAGAAGAGCCTCCCCAGAGGATCTTAAAGAGCATGTGGGTTCGTAGGGGAGGATGTGGTCGTGAAGATAGGAAGGTCTAGACATATTAGGGAAAAGGTATCATTCATGTCCTCCTTTTGAAAATTCTAGACATATTAGGGAAAGGGTATCATTCATGTCCTTTTAAAAATAAGTTAAAGTATTACAGAGCATCAGTGAAATGACACTTCTGTACTAAAACTCTAAGATTTTTTTAAAGATTCAGAGGGAAAAAGTTTCCTTTCTAACAATGGAATTACTTTAGTAAACCATGCCAGTTTTTTAAACCTTTCAGAAGAGTCCTAGTGCAGGCCCCTAAAATTGTAACAAGCATCTAGATGGATGCAGAGGCCTCAACAAACAGCACACTCCAAGGTGCTCTGTTTTGAGAACTCACATTTGTTTAGAATGATTTAGAAGAGCCCAAGTGAGGGCAAATCTACACAGACCTACACAGACCGTACATACTGTGAGTTCACTCCTGGCTGTCCCCACCTTCTGCCACTTCTTGTTGTTATTGTGAGTTAAAGCAGGTTAACTTGATCTAGCCATGTGTCAAGAAAAGTCAAGGGATGCTCCTGAGTTTGCCTGAAACTCTAAGGCAACCCTGTATCTTTGACAGTGTGGACAGTCAGACTGTGTTCAATTTGTCCACATGGTTCATTATGACCATCCCTTTTTTATCTGTGCTCATGTCATATTGTTTCCAGTCCCAGATGACAGCAGAGCTCCATGATAGCACCTGGCCATTATGGCAACCTGTGCAGACAATTTGAAACCACAATACAGATTTTTTTAAAAAAGGAATATGAAGGATTTTACCTCAGGTACATTCCAACAGCATAAGCACAGAGGAACGAATAATCCAGGGCTCCCAACAACTGTTTGTAGTTGTTCTTATCTGTGAATACACATTTTACAGTTGATATGCTTAAGCCACAAATAACCATTAAAACTAGTAATTGACTACAGGCAGTCCCCAAATTACAAACATTTGACCCACATACAACTCAAATGAGGGGTGAAACAACAGAAAGTGAGATAAAATCTACTCCTGGGAAGGGAAATTCACTCCTGAAAGAGTTATTGTGTGGAAAAGGTAGCTCCACTGCAGCTTTATCATCAATCCTTGTTTCCACAACCCTAAATTTTCAAATTTCAACTATCACAGACATAGAAAGTAGGTGAAATCTTCTGAACAGGGGCACAGACAGCAAAACAAACACCACAGGGGTGACGGTCCTTCCCTATGCTATCCAAAACTTTAAAAAAAGACTGGAGTGACACTTTAAAAATATACCTGTTCCGAATCTTATTTGTAACCTGAGGACTGCCTGTATTGAATATACAATATGTATTGCTACCCGTCTCCACAAGAATGTATGTATTCTTGATCTAACTTCAAGGAGAGATTGGCAACAAAAAAAATTACTTGCCATTTCATTTTAATTCAGAAGACTTCAGAACAACCAGTGACAATAAGTTATAACAATATAGTCAATATCTATAGCAATATAGTTGATATCTGCTGCATATTCATGTTTCAAATGAATTGAACAAATGATTATTTAATCTCTGCAAAGTGGTTCTTAAATGGAAAACTTCCCTTAACTCATTCTAAGATCTGCTCCAAGTGCATTTCCTACCATGATCAATAATTAAACACCTATAACATTGATAGGCTTCTGGAACAGACTGACAGAATAAAATATTGTAATGTTCCCCTTAAGGAAGGATAGGCAAAGTGTGGCGGTTTCCTTTGGAATCTCTAAATGTCCCCTGAAGCCCCCCAAAATTCCAGGTTCTTCAGTCCTTTATAAACATTCAGGTCAATTTTCAGTTGATTCTTTTGTCAGATAATCAACTATAAGTCCTTTAAACCGATCAAAAATGCAGTAGCTTGCTTCCCTCAAAATTCCTCAAAAAATTGTCTTTATATTGGTTAACAAGGCAGCTAAAAGTAGCATTATGTCCCTTTTTAATTTATTTGGTCTTGTCTAAACAGCAATAAAAATATTTACTACTCACCAAATGGTTCCCAACCACAGGGAGACTCACTAGGTAACATTTTAACAGGCTGTATATGGATGGCATATTCACTGCGAATAACTTGTGAAGTTGAACAGTGCTTATGCAGTTCTCCCTACATTAGATTGAAAATAAGTTAATGAAACACTTCAAAGAATCAAATAAACAGTTTTTCTTTAGAAAGCATGTCTTGCTTTTCAAGTATTAATGTTAGTCAGTATACGTGTTTTCAACTTTAAACACTTTTCAGTTAGATGACATGCATTTTCAAACACACATACAATTTGCTTAAGGTAAAAGTTTCCCCTTGACATTAAGTCTAGTCAAGGGGTGGTGCTCATCTCCATTTCTAAGCTGAAGAGCCAGCGTTGTCCATAGACACCTCCAAGGTCATGTGGCTGGCATGACTGCATGGAGTGCTGTTACATTCCCGCAGAAGCAGTACCTATTGATCTACTCGCATATTTTCAAACTGCTAGGTTGGCAGAAGCTGGGGCTAACAGCAGGACCTCACCCCTCTCCCTGCACTTGAACCGCCAACCTTTCGGTTGGCAAGTTCAGCAGCTCAGCGGTTTAACCCGCTGTGCCACTGGGAGTTTAAGACATTGCAAATTTCAATATGACCTCATTTGGTTTTGAGATACAAGTAATAAAAGAGGAGATTGAAAAGACTACTACACTATGGATTAGAAATGGCACAAAGAGTGAAATGAAGGAAGGAAGTGGATTGCTTCAATTTCTACACAGAATGGCAGTACATAGGCCAATGTCTGCATATGAGACAGATTATTAAGAACACAAGTAACTCAACTAATCCCATTTTTAGGGGGAAAAGACTATTAAAATAATAAAAAGAGGAGATAAAAGATTCATAATTAGGTAGTCTATAGAAAGGGGTGTGTTAATAAAAAAGAAGAAGAGTATTAAATCCCAATAGTTGAACAGTGACAGGCTCTAGCAAAATCGGAATACTGTCACAGTCTTTAATCCTTTATCTCTAATCTACTAATTCCTTGTTTGACATCAGCAGGATGTTAGCAATGTATTTCCTTATTACTTACCTTAACTATACTGATTGGTTTTCTTGATAAATGGAAACTTACATAGAGCAAAAAAGTCAGGACAAATGTGAAAGACCTGTACCTGTAACAGAACAAACATTCCATGACACAACTATTTTGTTTGCTATCAGTCACTTTACAGGTTTTCCTTCGCAAGATATCCGGTTCCTCTTACTTATTTTTATTCTTATCAGAGATGCTGATACTTTAAAAAAATAGTAAAATAATTTTTTAAATTATCTATGCTTTTACTGCATACTCTTTAAACTGTTTTAACAAAGCAAAGCTTATAGAAAGAGGAAAGAGCTTTGGAATCATTTTCCAAAGCAATAAGGATATTAACGATTAATTAGGAAGTGACCTACAAAATTGCCACATTGTCTTTAAAAAAACCCACAGCTGAAGCAGTTACACGCAGGCAAACTTTATGCACAACTGTGATCCATAGTAAAAAATGTGGGCCAGTTACCAATCCTGTTTGACTAGTTAAGAGAGTGAAAACAGATTGCTGACAATTGATGTAGAACCTCCGGGATATAAAACATCAAGTCCAAAGGTAGAATGGCCAATTTTTCTCTTCTGTACCTATATTTTGCGCAATAGGGTTTAAAGATCATTTTCTGCCAAACTCCATATTATATTTTAAAATCCCATCTAATTTCTGCACATGAAAGCTGTTGAAGGCATAACAGTAGGGCAATCCCCCGCCATTGTTCAATAACCCCAATTCCAAATATTTCTGGTCTCAATTAATGGGGGAAATGCCTGTGCATTGGATTTCCTGAAACCTATATCTCATAAATTTGTGCAATAGGGAAATGCACTGGCCAAATGAAGTGTACAACTAGTGTTTTGTTGACTGTTAAGCAATATATTTATAGCATAAGGAAAAGCTAAATCTAAAAATATATATTTTAACAAAATACCTCACTCTGTAAACTATCAAAACCCTGTTTTGTAATTTAATATATTTCTTTAAATATTTGGTTTAGAGAAAATCAGAATAGGCAAAAAATGTCCTTCTCCAGAATAAGAACATTTATTTATTGTATCGGAAGCGAACTGAGGGTACAGTAGTAACGTATTTAAAAACATAAAATTAAAAAAAAACCTTGCCATTATACTAAATGCCCTTTGACCAGTATCTGGTCACCTGGAGCGCCTCTGGTGTTGCTATAAGGAGGTCCTCCATTGTGGATGTGGCAGGGCTAACTGCATTGTGATAGGTGGTCTGCTCTTCTCCATACTTGCATGTTGTGGACTCCACTTTGTGGCCCCATTTATTAAGATTAGCTCTATATCTCGTGGTGCCAGAGCACAGTCTGTTCAGCACCTTCCAAGTCACCCAGTCTTCTGTGTGCCCAGGGGGGAGGCTCTCATTCAGTATCAGCCATGGCTTGAGGCTCCGGGTTTTAGGCTGCCACTTTTGGACTCTCATTTGCTGAGGTGTTCCTGCGAGTATCTCTGTAGATCTTTAAAAACTATTTCTTGATTTAAGGCATTGGCTAATATCTGAACATCGGCATGCTGGCTGATATCCAAACAGAGGATGGGCTGGAGATGTTGCTACCTTGGTCCTCTCATAATTGGCTGTCAGGTGGTGCAATACCAGCTAAACAGTATACTTTTTCTAGTGGTGTAGGGCTTTGACATCATGTGATAATGTGGCATGTCTCATTAAGAGCCACATCCACTGTTTTAGTGTGGTGAGATGTGTTCCACACTGGGCATGCGTACTCAGCAGCAGAGCAGCAAAGTACAAGGGCAGATGTCTTCACTGTCAGATGTCAGGAGGGCTGTTCACATATTCCTTATCCTCATTCTTCAGAAGCGGCCAGAAGAATGAGGACAAGATATATGTGAGCAGCCCTCAGACATTGCTCAATACAATGTCTACTATCACACATTAGAAGTTACACAATCCATAGCCATGGGCTCTGCATTCACCAATTTATTCAACCACAGATAAAAATATATATTTAAACAAACCCCAAAGCAAACCTTGATTTTGCCATACACCAAGCACTACACCAATGTGTACAGCATACTCTGCTGGAGCCTCTTGCCATTTCACAGGCTCCCAGGCTCTTTCTGTCACTTATTTGAGTTGTTCACCATGTTGCTCTTCAACTCAGGGCAGCCTTGAATGACACACACTTTCTTGGCCCATTTCAAACCACCGTCTGAGCAGGATTCGGAATTGAGACTGACAGAGGAAGTGTGTCCCTGTTGGTACTTTTAGATCGCTCAGCGACTTTTAGCACCCTCGACCATGGTATCCTTCTGGATCGCAGGGGGTTGGAGGCACTGTGTTGCAGTGGTTCCAGTCTTACCTCTCAGGCAGGTTCCAGATGGCAGTGTTTGGGGATACCTGCTCTTCAAAAAAGGGGGCTGTAATGTGGCATCCCATAGGGTGCCATTCTACCCCCAAGAAATACTATTTCTAGAATTTGAGGATTTATAGATGGTAATGAAAGCACTGGTAATCTCAAGAATGGATCTGCAATACACTTTACATTGGGCTACATCTGTACCAAGTTCAGAAACTCCAATTAGTTCAAAACACAGCAATCTGACTAGTTACAACTAACAGGAATATTCAGGAGTGAGCATATTACACCTACACTAAAGTCACTCCAAAGTTTTGGTCAAAGTACAAAGTGTTGGTTTTGACCTTTAAAGCCCTACATGGTTTGGATCCAAGTGACCCACAGGATCACCTTCTCATGTACAATCTGCCCCTTTGGACACTGGGGTCCTCTGGGAGGCAGTACGCCAACCTTCCAGAACCCGACTGGCAACCAGCACCCAGAGGACCTTGTCATCGGCCACCCTAAGACTATGAAATGACCTGCCAGGAGAGCTCTGACAGCTACATCAGCTGCTAGAATTTAAAATACAACCAAACATGCATCTCTTACACCAGGCTGATCCAGTCAATTTTAACTTGTGAATTTTAATCCAAATTTTATTGATAATTTTAATCTGTGTTTTACCTGTGTATATTTGTTACATGTATTTTAATAGTGTTCTGTTTTATCATGTTGTAACCTGGCTCAAGCTACGAGGAGAGGCAATAAATAAGTAAATAAATGATGGTAATAACAGTGCTACTACAAGGAGTATCATTTTACTATACCACTATATATATAATGGGACATGAGAATCCACTGATTTTGTTGGAACCAAACCCCAGTGGATCTTGGAAACCCCAGTGGATATCAAGGGTCCACTCCACTGGTGAACACTCTACTTCAAAAACATTTGAATCAATGGATTATAACTTACCATTGATCTCTTGTAAATGAAGTGATCAAACGAATCCCAGCTGGAAGTTCAGCCATTTACTTAAGAACCAGCTTCAGATTTCAATTATTCAAGTGCCTCAGATATTTGTTCCAAGTTTTCAGTAAAAGAAAATTTCGCATGGAATAGAGTCCTCCTTGATGACATCAATAATCCTTGAGAGGCATATCTTTTAAAAAGAGCATTTTAACATTAATAATAACAAAGTAATATCCGTTAGGTGATAAGAACCTAACATTCTTAGGTAATATTTAAATGTACTGAAGCAGATATTGTTAATTTTATTACAGAAGTATGTATTTTCAGATTGTTATTTCTCTATATTTCAATATGTACAGCATCTCATAATGTGCTGATCTTAACATGGAAGAATAAGAAGGGATAAATAACATAGAAGGTTTTGGTACATTTCTAGATACACCTGTTCTGGTATAAATTGTACCAATGAAGAACAAAAATAAGATACTGTAAGTAAAGGTTGCACAAAAATGAATGAAATGAAAACTTTCACTTGCTGAATGTTTGTCTTTTTTAGGTAGGAAAGACATAGGAGTACTTTCAGAAAAGAGGATACATATTTTTTACAATCATGTCACTGCCTCTATTGTGAGTCATTCCTGCAATTGAGAGCATGACCTATTCTTTGTGAAATTTAAAGAGGTTTGAACAGCAAGGAACATACAGTGCAAGGACCAGTTGCTGAAAGCTTTTTGAGACATAAATCCAGCTGCTAATCCTAATAAGAACAAAACTACGTATTTCCATACACCTTGATTTAAAATTGGTTAGAAGTAAATATGTCAACACTGCTCTATGGAATTCCTGATACAAGAGAGAATTGCATACAAGCCAAAGATAGGCAGGAAGACCATCCAATGATAGTATTGTGTATTATTGTGTATTATTGTTGTGTGGATTGCTTGTTTCTGTTTTTGTAAACTGTTTTTATATGCTGTACACCGCCGTGAGTCGCCCCAGGGCTGAGAGCGGCGGTCAATAAATGCACCAAATAAATAAATAAATAAATAAATAAATAAATATAAATCATTTCTGTGAGCTGGTAGTCTCTATAACAGGCAGAATGTCTGGCTTCAGAAGATCACAGCATGTCAAATATGTTACTGAGCACATTCAAAAAAGAGGATTTGGAGGCATCAACCTCAGTAAAGCATATCCGAAAAACAGATGTTTGCATTCATTCCAGATACTAATGAGGATGTTTGCCAGCCAAGAGTTTAAGCTATATTTGAAAGACAGCATTGCAGATTTTCACAATGCACTAAATGCGATGGTCATCTGACATAAAGATTCAGCTATGCAGGTTTGTTCATGAACAAGCTCATTAATTTCAGTGGGATTTATTCTTTTAATCTAGGCTATATCAGAAATCATTTCTTGAGTGATTTGCAAATGCCCAAATCAAAAAAGAAACCCCTCAAACTGATGCTGCTAACTGGAAGCAAAATATCTTGGAAATAACTTGCACTGAAATTGGAATTCCCATAATAAACTGTAAAAATAAATTATGAGTCCTTTTCTCACCTAACAGCATTTAAACATCTGCTGACTGAAGCGGCCAATGTATTAAACATTTTTACTTATAACATCCATCCATCCCTTTATTTGTACCTTGCCTTTTGCCCAAATTGGGACTTTAAACATTGTGATAATTAAAACATGCCTAGCAAAACCATACAAAAACTATCATTAAAACAATATTAAACCAGTATAAAAATCAAAACCATTTAAAACACAACTTTTAAAACAGTACAGCACCATAAAAAAGCTTTATTTTTGTATATAGCATTTTTTCTTCTATATAGTACATAATATAAAATATTGTGAACTACAAGCTGAACAACAGCAGAAATGAAAAGCAACTATAAAGCCAAAGTTTAGAGAAAATTATAATTATTTTGCAGCTGAACTTTCCTATGGAGAGAATTCCACAAAAGTAGATCAGCATGCCTTTCTCTCCATTGATACACAGAGTGTGCAGGTGTTTTTTTTTTAAGGGTTTCCTTTAAGGAAACTAGTTTATAAAACGGATTAAGGATTTACAGTGCACTCTCATGCATGCCTACTGAAAAATAAGCCCCACTCACTGAAATAAAGCATGCTCCCAGTGATGGACTGCACCTTTAAAAGCTAAACCAGGGTTAAATGGTATTAGTATGTGCCCTAAATTACAATGAAAGAAAGAAATGATGACGCAAAGTAGCATCACTAGGAGAGGCAGACTGCACTGGGTGACACCATCAAAGGAGAGGACACCAAAATTGATGACTATAAAATACTGAACCAGCAATTTATTTATTATAAAAATATTCCTGATGTAGCTTAGATATATATTGTTTCAATATTCCTACAAGGCTAAAACTCTTTGCTAGTTTATATTTTTGAATCTCCTAATGCACATGCACTCTGGTCAAAACTTTTATTATTACCCAAGCATTTTGGATTGGTGATCCTCAGTTTATACTGTATTAATATATCTATAGGACTAAATCTGTATAGTACTGTATTTGTTTGATTCTAAGTCACTATTGATTCTAAAACACACACAAAGTTCAGTACCACCAAGAGAAAAAAGCTCTAATTGTGTGTGTGTGTATAAACACCTGTGAATTTAAGACTCACACCATTTTAGAAATATGTATATGGGGGAAATGTGTTTTAGAAAAAAAGAAATGCATTATTTTGCTGTTTGAATCTTATAATGCACATGCACTACTGACAGAGCTGTCATTATTACTCAATTATTACGATGCTTTGAATCACATGGGCTCGTTGTATGTGTTTCAATATTCCTACAAGGAATGGTTTTAAACAGTTTTTAAATTGTTTAAATAATATTGAATTCTATTTTCAGACTTATATTTTATAGGTTTTTAACTTGTATAGTTGTTAAGGTCATGACTGGCTTTACATCCCAATCCTGGGAGAACAGCAGGGCACCACTACTACTACTACTACTAATAATAATAATAATGTCATATTTCTTCAATTGCAAGACATCATTGATTGTAAAGTGTGCAATAATTTCAATAGCACCAACAAGAGAAAAAGTTTTATAGATAAATAGACTGATAGAAAGACAGATGAACCTGTGATTCTAAGTAGCATCCCAATTTATAGATGTTTATATTGGGGGGGGGGGGAGTACATGTTAGAATTGAAGAAATACGGTAATATGCTACAAGCATGCAATTTTTTTAAAACAACAACAACTCAGAATTAAAGAAATATGGTAATGTGCTACAAGCATGCATTTTAAAAAAATAGTTGCTGATTTTGTCTAATTCTCTATTATTTTTAGTTACAATATTGAGGTATAGGGAGAGAGGTTCAAGGGTTACTACGTGGCCGATACCAACCGTAGTGAGGCCAATGAGAAAGTATAAAAATACATGCTACAACAACACACACAAACGCAACACTTGGGTACATCTACACTGAGGCCCCATCTACACTACCATATAAAAATCCAGATTATTTGCTTTGAACTGGATTATCTGACAGCGTAGACCAGGTATAGGCAAACTTCCACCCTCCCTCCAGGTGTTTTGGACTTCAGCTCCGGCTGTTAGGAATTTGGGAGTTCAAGTCCAAAACACCTGGAGGGAGGGCGGAAATTTGCCCATGCTTGGTGTAGACATATATAATTCAGTTCAAAATGGTTCAACTCCAAGGCTATTTGGCTGACCACATCCTCTTGTACAAACCTGTCCGGACTCTGAGATCTTCAGGAGAGGCCCTTCTCTCGGTCCCACTTACATCTCAAGCTCAGTTGGTGGGAACGAGAGAGCAGACCTTCTCGGTGGCTGCCCCTCGACTCTGCAACTCCTTTCTTCCCAGGGAAGCCAGAATGGCCCCCTCCTTGTTGTCCTTCCAGCGGCAGGCTAAAACCTTTTCATTCTGACAGGCTTTTAAAGAAGATGGTGTTTAAGATCAATTCAGGGGGTGCTATCGTTTTTAGTTTTGAATTTGTTTTAATGTTTTTTAAATGGGATATATATATATATATATATATATATATATATATAATCCTGTTTTAATGCTTGTATTTTTATAGATTTTAAAATGGCTACTCTGATGATTTTCTGTTAAGTTGCTTTGAGTCCCCTTCAAGGGAGATAAGGTTAGGTTTCCAGTTGTGTGTGAGTCTGGGATGTGTGTGTGTGTGTGTGCACATCTCCATTTCTAAGACGAAGAGCTGGCGTTGTTCGTAGACTCCTCCAAGGTCATGTGGCCGGCATGACTGCCGTTATCTTCCCATAGCAGCAGTACCTACTGATTGACTCATATTTGCATGTTTTTGAACTGCTAGGTTGGCAGAAGTTGGGGCTATCAGAGGGAGCTCACCCCACTCCCCAGATTCACCCATCTTTCAGTCAGCCCCCAGTGGTGCAATGGGTTAAAATATTGTGCCGGCAGGACTGAAGACCAACAGGTCAGAGGTTCAAATCCAAGGAGAAAGTGGATGAGCTCCCTTTGTCACCTCTAGCTCCCCATGCGGGAATATGAGAGAAGCCTCCTACAAGGATGGTAAAACATCAAAACATCTGCATGTCCCCTGGGCAATGTCCTTGCAGGCGGACAATTCTCTCACACCAGAAGCGACTTGAAGTTTCTCAAGTCGTTCCTGACACGAAAAAAATAATAATCAGAAAGCTCAACAGTTTAATCCACTACCCCATGGGAAATAAAGCAGGATATAAATAAATATAATAATGATGATGTTGCAGATAATCTGGGCTCAGATCATAGAGGGATGAGTAGAGCCATCCCAGGCATGGGAAAAAATTGGGCCCTTCGGATGTTTTGGACTTCAAGAAGGAATTGTGGGAGTTGAAGTCCAATATATTCGGAGGGCCCACGTTTGCCCATGCCTGGCCCAGCCTGACTGCTATGGGATCGTGAGAGTTGCAGTTTCACGAGGTCTTTATCCTTTTCTGCTGGTGCCTCACCACACTAGAACTCCCTCGAGGCCTTAGCATGGGAGCAATGGCAGCGAAAGTGGTGCCAGACCGCGTTAATTCGACAGCGTAGACGCGCCCCTTCCCCTCAAGGCATCCCTCAATGGACGCTGCCTCGCTCTCACTGACTGAGGGGCAGGAGCAGCAGGTGCGCCGACCTCTGAGGCGAGGCGAGGGGCCGCTTTTCTCCTCAGGAAGAACACACCACAAGCCCCGAGAGAGGAGAAGGAGGCCTTTCCGACGCCCCTCAGGAAGTCCCCACTTCCGCCCTACCTGGAAAGAGGAGGAAGAGGAGAGAGTCCCTTGGAGAGGCGAGGCGAGGCGGCGTTTGCTTCCCGGCAGCAGCGCTTTGGGCGGCCTCTCCCTCCTGAAGGAGGCGCGGTTTCGCCTCATTCAAGCGCAGCCAACACTGGCGTAGTTACTCACTCCTCTGACGAACCTGTTCCCCGATGAGGAAGGAAGGAAGGCAGGAAGGCGCTGCGAGGGATGGCCAGAGGCGGCAGATACTACAGCCATGGCCCCTTTCCCCCGGGTTAACTAACACAAGTGGGGCTTCCCTTCCTCGACATGTTTGAGACCAGAAGTGTTTCAGAGTGGGCGGGGGATGCATAGAACAGGCCTGGACAAACATAGGCCCTCCAGGTGTTTTGGACTTCAACTCCCACCATTCCTAACAGCCTGCCCCCCCCCCCCCAAATACGGCTCCACAAGGGGTGGCTTACAAGGGGACAAAGCCGAAAAATTCAGATTAAAACAAACGCAATAAAGTAAAATCAACAACACATCAGAAAACAACCCACATTCAATGCCAATGTTGACATACAACATATACAGATATAGAGGCTATATCTGCCGGGGGAGCTGTCGCTTTCATCGTCCATCTGCGACACTGATTAAGTACTTCCGCATTCCCCGCATGCTTTTTGCTGGAGTGCTTGCTGGAGTCTTTTTTTATGGCCTCATAAATTAGTTAATTTAGCCTCCACACACTTTAAGGTGGTACCTAATCTTCCTACTTGGCAGATGCAACTGTCTTTCGGGTTGCAAAGGTCGACAACAGGCTACACAATTGGTTGAAAACCCACTCCAACCCAGGCTGGCTTCGAACTCATGACCTTTTTTTGGTCAGAGTGATCTTAATGCAGCTGACACTCAGCCAGGTGCGCCACAATCCTGGAGCCAAGGGAAAGACGAGTATCTCAAGCTCTGAGGATTACCTGGGAAGGAATCCCACTGGAGCACTGCAGCACACCCAAATACCTGCTGGAAGTTACTCTGCAATGTGCTCTGACTTATAAGAAGCATTGCTTGAATTTCAAGGAAAAAGTGGGTGCCTGAAATAATGTCGTACGAAAGCTGAGTGGCCCAACCTAGGGATCACAACTAGACAGAGTGAAGCCATCTGCCCTTGCACTTTGCTATTCTGCTGCTGAGTATGCATGCCAAGTGTGGAATACATCTCACTGCACTAAAACAGTGGATGTGACAATGAGACATGCTGCATTATCACGCGGTGTCTGCGCCCTACACCACTGGAGAAATTATACTGTTTAGCTGGCATTACACCACCTGACATCTGCCGGGAAGTAGCAGCCAGCAATGAAAGGACCAAGGCATTGACATCTCCAGCCCATCCTCTGTTTGAATATCAGACAGCATGCCGATGCCTTAAATCAAGAGCTTCCTAAGATCTACAGAGATACTCACAGGAACACCCCAGCAAGTGAGAGTTCAAAAGTGGCAGGCAAAAACCCATAACCTCAATCAATGGATTATTTATTTGTTGTGTCAGGAGCAGACCGAACAACTGCGTTGCATTTTTTAACAAACAGACAGACAAAATACAAAGTCTGCAAGCTGGTAGTTGATTAAATGTCCTTTGACCAGTATCTGGCCACTTGGAGTGCCTCTGGTGTTGCTGCAAGAAGGTCCTCCATTGTGCATATGGCAGGGCTCAGGTTGCATTGCAGCAGGTGGTCTGTAGTTTGCTCTTCTCCACACTCGCATGTCGTGGATTCCACTTTGTAGCCCCATTTCTTAAGGTTGGCTCTGCATCTCGTGGTGCCAGAGCGCAGTCTGTTCAGCGCCTTCCAAGTCACCCAGTTTTCTGTGTGCCCAGAGAGGAGTCTCTCATTTGGTATCAGCCATTGATTGAGGTTCTGGGTTTGAGCCTGCCACTTTTGGACTCTCGCTTGCTGAGGTGTTTCAGCGAGTGTCTCTGTAGATCTCAATGGATGATACCAGATGAGAGGCTCCCTCCTGGGCACACAGAAGATTGGATGACTTGGAGCTGAACAGACTACGCTCTGGCACCATGAGATGCAGAGCTAAACTTAAGAAATGGGGCTACAAAGTGGAGTCCACAACATGTGAGTGTGGAGAAGAGAGAACTACAGACCAGCTATTACAATGCAAACTGAGCCCTGCCACATGCACAATGGAGGATCCTACAGCGACACCAGAGACACTCCAAGTGGCCAGTTTCTGGTCAAAGGACATATAGTATAATGCCAAGTTTAATTTTGTTTCTGTAACTGTGCCCTCAGTTTGCTTCTGACACAATAAATAAATAAACATACCATATTAACTTGGATTTGTCAACTAGAAAGTCAACACTAAACTTAGATACATTAAGTAGCAACTGGAAACAAGTCTAACTGCCTAACCTTGGGATGGGGGTAGCTGTTTCATGGAGGCCTATATTTTCAAACACAGAGAATTATAGGTGGAAATCTAATTGTTAGTCCCAGCTAGACTGACTCAGTGGGAACTTGATAAAGCAAAACATATAATTTCCATTCATTTAGTGGAGCGACTGGTTAGAACAAACAATAAGACACATATCATAGTTTTCTGGATTTTTTTAAAAAAACAACAGTACACACATTAGAATCACAGAATAATTTCCCATTATATAAAAGTCTGAAGTATATGCTGTCATTTAAGCCTATAAATACTGTCTTTAAGTTCTACATTACTTCTTTTTTCTTAATGGTTAAGACACAACCCTATTGTCCTAGTAATCCCTGAAACGATTCTAGATCTAGATCATGTTTTTACTGCATATACCAGTTCATCAAAAGTTCTTATTTATTAGCATTACGCTTTATTTAGAACACTATGTGTTTAACAAAAAAGAAAAATGAGCCTAATGCTGAAAGAACAAAAAGCCATTTATTCACATTAATCGGATACTCTTTTCTGCTACTGGTATCTGGTATCCTTATTTTCAAAATAAAGAAAAAGCAATATAATGAATCCAACATTTTTTCCATGTAAAAAAAAGTTGAATTTTCTAACCCTAAAATGTTCTTTAATCCGTTTTCAGTGGGACAGAATGTCTCGGGTATTTCCAGAGAAGCAAGCAGACACACAGACACCAGTACTGGGTTTATATTGGTTACACAGACAAAGGGAAAATATCACATTCACTCAAAAGCCACTCATTCAGCATACACACTCACCACCCCTTTTCCGTTTAGTTTTGCTGGGAATGAAGAGGCGGGTGGGCAGACCATCACTGAAGGTCTGGTATACATTCAGTTTTGGATTTTCCCATCCATCAAGTTGTTTGGTGGTCACTTTCAGTTCTGTCTTTGGCCAGGTGCAGCTTTATCAATTATGGAACTGATGGGTTGTTCCATTCAAGTTCTGCAATTTAATTAGTTCATTGTCTTTGGTTATGCAAGCCTGTCAGAGTGAAACCCAAGATTCTCCTTTCAGTTCATTGCTTTTTTCTTCTTCTTCACTTTTCTTGCCAAGACTTGTGGACCTTGCATTCCTTGCTCCCCTCTCTCTGTCCCATAATGCAATTTCCAGATTACATTTTGGAATGGTGGCTTTAGTCTTGCTAGGTCTTACAAGTCCCCAGCCAGACCCCAGACATTCAAACTGTTCTTTACAAAGTCATTGCTAATTATAATTATAGATGGGGCTCTTCCTGGCTTTTCAGTCTATTTTTGGTGTGTGTGTATTGTACAAGGAATGAACAACTGGTTTAGCCCTATAAGGCACACCAGAAGAACAGTTTAGTATTAACCCAATGCCATTACAAATGTACACATTTTAATTTTACAGGATTAATAGTGTTCACATAGAATTTTGTGAAACTGCTATTATGGCTTTGCTATATAAGTTAGCATTAATTTTTTAGAAATTTGGATCTGTCTATTGACTTGATACACACACACACACACACATTTTACTTTTTATAAAACTGAAAGTTGCCACTAGTACAACATCTGAACTGATGAGACAAACAACTTCCAATTAAGAATGCAGCTTACCTCTTCAGCTGTATATACAATTGCAAGGGAAACTTCAAAACAAACAAACAAACAAACAAAAACAACAACAAAAACAAAAACCAAACATCCTTTATTTGCACATACGGTTTTGCAGAACCCCATCCTAACCCTGGGCTTCCCCTAAGACTAATGTTAGATATTTTTATATTAGATTAAATCATTGCCTGTTTTTATTGTTTTCTAGTTTCCTTGATGAATTTCTAAGAAAGTTATGGTACAGTAAGAACAATAATATGGACTGAGAAAAGTGTATGAGTTATAGAATCATAGAGTTGGAAGAGACCTCATGCGCCATCCAGTCCAACCCCCTGCCAAGAAGCAGGAAAATTGCATTCAAAGCACCCCTGACAGATGGCCATCCAGCCTGTTTAAAAGCTTCCAAAGAAGGAGCCTCCACCACACTACAGGGCAGAAAGTTCCACTGCTTCAACAAATCTTCAAGGTGAAACACATTCTTGGTTATATTTATATAATGAATGTTTCCTTGAATAGGGCATATTCTACTCTGCTGAGATTGCAAATAAAAGGGTGTGTAACCTGTTTCCCAAAATAGGCAGTGATTATGCCCTGTGAACTGACATTCCATTGACTGCACTCAGAACAGCCCAGAGGAAAGCCATGCAAAACGAATGCCGTTTCCTGAGATAATATAACTTGATGTCATTGTTGTGAATAGATGTGTTGTTGTTGCTGTTATGATACAGAGGCCCATAATATAGAATGAAGAAAGGTAAAGTGAAATCAATCTCTCTGACTCTAATATCCTAATTTGTACCAGATCTTTCCATAAAGACATTCCACTTTCTTTCTTTTATCAAATTAACATCCCTATGTTATTCCTTTTTTAATTGTGTGGTATTTATTTTGAAAGTTGCTGTTATACTCCAGAAACTTTTGTTTTTGTGGCTGCCACAAACAATGTTGAATTGGTGGAGATTCTGTGTGATATTCATTGAAAAACTATAGCAAAATGTGCTGCAGGATGTTCCGCAAAGTTTTTGCAGTTTTATGATAGAAACCATTAGGAAATGACATTTATAACCCAGGCACCAAAATCAAGTTACATAGTGTTATACTTAACAGTCAATATTACAATTTAAAGACACACATGATTTTTTATGAATTCTGTAACAAAACACACCAATTAAACATATATTACATAATCGCATCCGGTAAACAGTTTATTCTGCCACCAGGAAGGTCAGTTATTAAGGTTTGTCTGAATAATAAGGCCTTTGACTAATATCATGAATATTAATATTGAGTATGCATTAT